TTAAGCTTCCAAAACGGGGCTGATATGACAGTGGCCTACAGTATTTAGAAGTGCATGTGCTTATTACTTCCAATACTGACATCTTCAAAATGACATTACAGTGCAGCACTTGAACCTCTGTGCACATACCAAGGTTTGCTTTGAAGAGAGCAATGTGCTTAAAAGGTTGCTGCAAATCTTCAGGCAAAGTTAGCACAGGGTCCATACTATGAACCCCTGTTGGTGACTTACGGGGAGAGAGATTCCACAAAATGTTGCTTGAATGATCAATTTATGCACTCAGCAGAAGTCACCGCAGCCAAGCACAAATTGTTTCCTTATTATCATCGTTGAATACCTCACAAGTGCTTCCTAAAGTTCCTGTTTTTCATCCCCTGAGAAGGAAAGTACTGGAAACGGTACTAATGACTATTGAAAATTACTTTTTAACAAGTCAACTTCATCGTTGTACATGTATATGTATTTCAGTTTAATTCAATACAGCATCAATTTCCTCTGCATGAACTTTTCCCCTTGTTTGCACAGACATACGCATCTCTCTGTTGTGATTGGTAGAGCTGATTCATGTGATCTCTTTTTCTCTTGTTTTCTCACAGCCTGCGTAGGGAGCACCGTGAAAACTCGCCATACCGTGGTCACTCGAGGGGACGGTCCTACTCACGCTCTCGTTCCAGGTCACCGCACAGGTCACGGAAGAAGTCATGGACCCGGTCCAGGTCACGATCAAGGTCATGAAGAACCAGCATTCAAAGTATAAGGTCTGTACATTTGTTTTTCTGTTTGAAATGAATAGACAGCTTTTTTCTCAAACTTTTCTGTTTGGTACCTTCTGTGTTTTCATATAAATTTTTCTACGTGGCCTACCTCATACGTGCAGTTATGGGCCACATATGCAAGAAGCCACTGTACCGTACAGTATCTGTCTTCTCCAAGTTGAAATAGGCAAACATGGTGGGCTATTCAAAATGTTGAAAATGAAGGAGGGGTGTCATGGCCCACTTGAACACCTTGTAAAAAATCCGCCGTATTTTTCAGCATCTCGGCAATCTTTTGGGTACTTCAGTAAGTTGGAGAACACTGCACCATGATGCATGGAGATCAGCTCTGCTTGATCCAACGGGACCCTGCTCTTCCTAACCATGGCTACTGGTTTTGTACAGCCTTAGAGTTCGCAAGGCTGCGGATTCATTGTTAAGGTGACAGATTCTGTACAGCTGCAAGCCGAGGCAGTCTTCAGATTTGACAAATATAAACAACACAACATTTTCTATTGAAACCTGCTGTATTACCACAGCCATTTATTGGTCTCTTATAGCATATTCAGTCATTATAAAGACAGAACTAACCTAAATATGCTACCAAGAAAGACGGCAAAGAATGCAAACCTCACTCAACCCAGCAACACATAGTGTTGTTGATTTTAGTTTTAAAGTACATTTTGTAAAGGGTTAGATGTTCCCGAGGAATAAGCTGTAATGGAATTCAAACTTCATCTGAGCACAGAAGGATTTAGTAAACTGCACTTGTTGTTGATGTAAACGTGGCATTCACATGTAGGCCCTACATGGTCTACAGGGGTGTTTGTTGACTACAGGGTACCGTTCCTACAAGAAAATGAAAAACCAGGAAGTTTTGGACTCTTTCACAGATGATGACGACACCATGCAGGATTAATTTTGCAGGGAGTGGGCAGAGTTTGGATTGAAATATGGGACAAAATTGATAACCGTGCCCAGGAAGCCACGGTGTTGCACATGCTGCAAAGAAACTCAGTGGCAGTACGACTTTTATGGTAGACTGTTGCTGATTGGTTTACTGAAGAAGACTGTGATTGGCCTTAAACTTTATTTACTGAGAATGGCACTTGATGCATGCAGTGCACTGTGACATGGTTTTCTTTTTTTTTCTTTCTTTTTTTGTCGTAGAAACTTTGGCAAGAAAGTCAGATGAATTGTCATTCATATTTCAAAAAGGGGGGTATGATCAAAAGGGCATTCAGCGTGGTAACAGATGTGAATTTTGACGTGAAAAAAACAAGATGCCCTATTAACAATGAGTGCATCTATAGATTGGATTCATCATTTTAAAACAAGAATTGTGTCTTCATTTTCATTGGTAGCCTTTTAAGCCAATTACATTTGCACGTTGAGTTCTTTACAACCTATGTCATCTTGGCTTCTTGAAGGTAAATGTAGGGGATGTCTTGGGCTTCTTTATTTATAAAAACAGAAACCAAACCTTTGAGCACCTGTCCTGCCCAAATGTTTCACAATGTAATGTCATTACACTTGAAGACAGTGTTACAATCATTGGCTTTCACTGACAGTCTGTATTCCTGTCTTGCAATTCTCTGGTAACTTACACACACTTAGTAAATTGATGTATTACATATTTAAACACCTCACAGTTTTTCCCTGCATTTTTCCCGCAGGGATCTCCTGTGACAAATGGAATAAATGTCTCCATCATCGAGAGAATGATCACTCTGCAGCTTCTTTCTTCGGAGTGTACGCTTGAATTTTTACCGAATACGACTAACTTTACTTCCATGTACATTAATAAGTAACCTTGCAAGTATCTTTAGTGTAGTGGCATTGTAGCTTCAAAAATCAAACCGTGAATATATCGGATAGGTGCTTGTTGAATGTGGAAATTCTGAAATCATTTGGAGAAGTGTGGAAAATGTGAGGAAAGATGCCCCATTTTAGACACATCCTAATTACAGAAAAAAGTTCAGAGCTTGAACGGAGTTTTGACAGGCTGAAGTACAATTTTCCCTTGCCACCCCCCTGTGTACACAGCTTCAGTCATGAACCTGTTCTTGGCCCGCCATTGTTCCTACATTTTTCAAAGGGCTTCCATGGGATTTGTGAAGTTCTATAATCACGAACCCTCACCCGACCATGGACCCTCTATGGTCTGATCAAGAAATGTCAAAAGCACCATGCAACCACAACGGTTTACCCAAGGTCGGCAGGAGGCAAGCATTTCATGCTCATTTCATGCGTATATCGGGGGGGTGGTATAAAATGAGAAGGAAACCTGGAATTTTTAGAATTGTTGGCAAAATTTTCATCTTTTTTATTTATGTTCAATACAAAACAAACGAGGTGGCCTTTGGATGTCATACATGTACACTGATTGTACTCAGGCTTCCAAATTCTGTTGTCATGTCTGTTATTGTTTACAATTTTTTCCCGTCACAGTTATCCAATTTACTTACACCAATGTGTGCTTGACTCAATCTGTATCTTGTTTCCTTATTCAGTCACTGTAAATTCACAATGCAAAGTATGTGCTACATTCAGTTTGACATGAAGGAGAAGTCAGAATGTTTTTAAATTGATTAAAAGATTGTTGTGAAATTCTGCACTGCTTAAAAATCATTTTTGCTTTGTATGCAAATGGCTATCACATTCATGTTTTGTTTTACGTGCAGATACATTGTACTTTTAGAGATACGCGTAGTGATATTTGGGATCAAAAAGGTTATTTTTGGGGGGTTAATACATCCGCCATTTTTTCTGTTACTCAAGAAGTGCGTAAACAGAATACTTTGAAGTTTGAGTTCAGTACAACGTAGCTAGTGGTTGATATAGCGAGAGAAATCTGTAGGACTTATTAACATACTTTAGTCTGGCAACAGCAGTTTTACACAAATAGGCCTTAACTTCAAATCACCACTTATTCAGAATTCCTTGTATAGGAGCAACATTTTTGTGTACAAATTATTTTCAGTTGCACGTAGTTCTGAGAAGATAATACCAGTAAACAATACATGCATATATATACATACTGTTTGAACAGTTTGTTCTTTGAGAGATTGCTCTTGTTTCTGACCTTGCCTTAATCTTCACTTTAGAATACCTCATGTTGCTGTCGCGTCACACTCGCAAGTTGATTTTTCGAACTTATGCTGTTACAGTTGATCAACAGCTGTATTTCTTTGAATTGAATGTTGAATTTCTTGAACTCTTTGTTTCAAAATGAACTTTGTTTATTAAAAATTTTGCTTTCAGTGTGTAGACAGCTGGTTTGGACTTCAGAAGTCAAGCTTATCGCCTGAATGTTGTAGTTTTGCACAGTTAGTGAATGCAATATTGCAAAAGTTAGAATCAGTAAATATTTATTTTTTTTAAGCTTTGATCAAGTAGCATTTCTTGGGTGACTTGTTGGACTCGTACCCTGGAGTTTCTTTGTAGAAACCTGCATTTCATCCTCTGATACTGTTAGTTTAAGTCTTCAGTAATTGAAATCACATTGTTTGCTATGTTGCTATGTTGTTTGAGAAATTAAACCTGATAAAAGGAATGCCACTTTTTGGTTGTAGTGGAGTCTGTTTGCAGTAAGTTTGTTTACAGAAATACACTCTCACACTAAGGTCCAGGTAATACTGATGTTGATTTTGACAATTGCGTTTAACTTCAATTATTACACATGTAGTTCGTCTCAATGTTTGTTGTTTTTTTAATGTACCTGTTTATGTTTTGGTTGTTCAAGATGTGACAAATAAACACCCCCCATTCCCGTCCTTAATCTCTGTGTGTCCCTTTTGTGTGTTGTTCTTTTGCATTGTTCCAATAATCCAACCGCCCTTTGGCATCCTGGGCAATTAAAAATCGAAAGTGTAGAGGCTGCAGTCCACTTGTCCAAGTAATCATTTCTGCCGAGCTAATTAATTAGCATGGAAAGTGCCCACAGTTTCTTTTGAAGGAGATTGTGTAAATATTTGCCTGGATTGACTCCCCTGCTCTGAGCTTGCACCTGAGAGCAGAACGGCAAAAAACGGTTGAAAAAATCCTAAGTGCCCAAGAAAATGGGGATGCCACTTGAAGAATGACTGCGTGCAGCTTTGGGAACTATCATCTTTCGGGGGGGGGGGTGGTTGATGTTTGTGTGAATAACTGAAAACGTTCACCCACACTGAAAAGAAATTGAGGGACAGTCATTGTTTGATTCAGAAACGTCGGGGGTGTTGGTATGTATGTTATTGAAGCCAGTGAACAATGCTGATTTTACACTGTTTTCAATGGGGCTTGAATTGGTAGCAGACACGGTTCTAGAGCCTATTTTTTTTTGTTGTGGCTAGACCCTCCGCACATGACGTCACCTTTTTACTTTCGCTTCTGCTCTTTTGCATTTTGGGGGGCTAGACAAAAGTGGAGGGTAGATGAAGTTCCCCTTCCCCAACCGCGCCTGATTAGTGGACAGTGCACCCCTAGCCCTAGATTGGACACCCGGTACCCAGCCAGAAACCGTACAAAGGTCGTAAAGGTGCAGACCAGTCAGTTGCCATAGACAACTGTGATAAATATCTCCACTTCAAAAAATCAGGAAAAATACAAGTTTCACAGGTGTTTAAGACACATATCAAATTAAAGCTCACATCCTCATCTTCCATTTTCCTTTCAATTTTTAGTGGCTTAACCGATGAGTTTTGAAGATATTTCTCTCCAGAGAAAATCGCCCCTAAAAACAGTCAGGAGGCCCATCGCCATTTTGGAACTTGATGCCTACACTCCATGGAAAACTACAGCAATTTGGAGGGCCCCGTTTGGTCCGATACTTTCAGAAATACAAGCTGACAGTCTAGTCCTGCCCCCACGGACGTGTATAATAAAATCTGGACTCGCAATACCCTTAATCAGCTTATAGAGTCACTGAATCCACTCGCGGCCATTTTACCGAGCCGAATACAAAGCTTTCCTGGCAATGCCCGCCTTTGTTCTTCCCGACGTCAATAGAAGGGAGCCAACCCACGCTTTTGTTTTCGGCTCGGTGAAATGGCCGCTGGTTGGCTTATTTTTCGTACAAAGGCGTTGCAAGTCCAGGTTTTTTATATACGTCCGTGCTTGCCCCTGCATTTCATCCACGTTACAAAAACACCCAGTCCACTGCCAAGAAAGGCTCTAATCCGGTTCGTAAGTGTGACGTCGCTAGCGCTTCAGTTTAAACCACGCCCACTGCACAAGTGCACTGTTCATGTTACCCCCGCCGTTTACATGGAACTCAACCATGGGACCGGCCGGAAGAGAGCGCGCGATTCGGTTCAATGATAGAGGGCGCTTTAAAGTTATGTTTATGAAAACTGTATACTCGATGCATGTGCACGGCCGGCATTGCATGTTGCGTGTGTCATTAATTGTGTACGTATACTGTACGTGGAAAGTTGTGAATGTACATGTATTTGCGATGTGAATACCCTAGCACTGTAGTTTATGCACCCGTATCGATATATCGTGACTTGATATTTATTCAGCCAAACTCTGTTTACTGAGTTCTTCTGACCCGAGGAATCATGTTTTCAGGTAAGCCTCCGCCTGCGTGACTTGTAATTTCACGAAACCGATTCAACGGGTGTCGGTCACTTCGCCCGATTTCCACTTCGCCCTACTGATTATCGTTCATTTTGTTCTTCAGTAACTAAGAGAGGCATAGGCCTAGGTGCAAGTAAAAACAGCGACGTTTGAGTACCCAAATAACTATTGGAGAATCCAGCTTTCATGGCTTTTAAAGGCCAGAACAATGCTTCCGATTTCCCGACCGCGCGCCGGACCCAAATTTTCGGTGAGACCTTAAAATTTTTATTGGCAAATTAGGAAAAAAAAAGTTTTTCGGAAAAATGTTGCATCCTGACTCCACTTCAGCAGTTGTGTACAAAGTCTATGGGGAACGAAGAGAATTTTGTTAGTATTTCCCAACAACAACAGTAGGCCTAAATGTTTCTCAGTCCAGAATTCATGTCTTTCCTGCATTTCTATAATGACTGACTTTCATTGAGATGATATACTGATAGGTATGATGAGAAAAGTGGAGACAAGATGCAACATTTTAACCAAGTTTTCTTCATGTTCCGTTGTCGCAGTGGTAAAAAACTCATACGCAAAGCACAGGTTCCTGCCGTGCTGCACCTGTGTAAGAGAATGCGTGATGGAGTGTGGCAACCAGTTCATGCCGCTGTGCCGGTGACTGTACTTGTACGTGATCCGTCACACATCGAAAAAAACATCGCTGTTACAAGATTTCTTCACCATAATTCTTACTATTTTGTCTGTGTGCGTATTTTCTGTGTTCATCAGTTTAATTTTAGGTTGTTTTGCTTGTACTTAAAGTGAGCATGTTTCCACAGAATTTCCTGCCCGCCGGGTACAGCTGTCTGGATGCATCGACAATTATTACCAGAACGATGTGAACAGAATTGTGTGTGTTGCTTTGAAATAAACTCGAAGAGGATGAGAAATAACCCCGATGCTAGTCCAACCATATGCGCTAATTCACCATTATGGACAACGCAGGTGACATTAATTTAATGTCGTAGACTTTTCTATAATAACTACACGTCGTTTGTGGAACTCCCTTCTCAACCATTTTTGAAGAGGCTTGTAACACACTCGAGAAAGGACAGTAAAGTGGAAATGGGGCAAAGTGGAAATGGGGCGAAGTGGGGGTGGGGTGATGTGGGGAGTGGGCGAAGTGGGGATGGGGCGATGTGGGGATGGGGTGGGGTGGGGATGGGGTGATGTGGGGGTGGGGCAAAGTGGTCAGGTGAGACGTGGAAATGGGGCGAAGTGACTGTAAACCGATTCAACGTTAAGCCAAGCTAGGCCACTTTAAGTACTTACATGTAGGCTTACTTCACTTCACTTTATTTCCATGTAATATAAAAGATAGCAATGGTATATATTTAGTTGATAGATGGAGACCCCCAAGAAGCATTGCTTGTTGAGTGGAGGACCCTCAGACATGAATGAAGCTAAACCAGGGTTCACAACCATGCACAATGCATGACATCTACATGTAAGATGCTCAACCAACCATAAAATTTCACGTGTGAAATTTGGCTCCTATAACATTCAGGCTTTATTTTCCTGAAAAAAACCTCCCTGTCCACAATTTCAATGCAGGATTCGAACCCACACCCCATTCATCACAAACCATTATGCTGTAACTGCTTGACTACCGTAATTCACACAGGTTGACGGTGTTTTTACTGTTGATTTACAAAGAATGGCAGCAACGCGAGTCTAATGCTAATACACATTGGACATGCGCAATACAATTTACAAACACAACCACCGTGGTTTGGCTTCATAATATGATTGCGTGTATATCTCATAGACAATGATAAACACTTATGACAACCCTACAAAAACTACAAGCATTATTACTGTTTAACTAAAAAAAATGCGCAAAAATGATAATGCAAACAGTAACATGTACATGGCTGTAACCCTGTGGTACAGCAGTGATCTCAAGTAAGTACCCATCGAGGTTCGAGGACTCGCGAGTCCCTCGAGAAAATAAGCTTCCCTTGAAGAATTTTCATCGAGCGAGATCGGGTAAGCCGCGAGCGAGATCGTGGGAGGTCGGGTGTGTGTCGAGTTTTATCGTGTGCTGCATCCGGAAGGCGATCACCACAGGGTTACTGGAGCGTTAAACAGTGACCTCCGCAGAAGTTGTGAGTGCGCCCGATTAAGGAAGCAAGGCGTCATTGCCCAATTATAAACGCTGCTATAGGACAACGGAAGACTAATTCGTATCAGCGCTGCAGAGCTATCTAGTACCGGTAGCATCTTTAACATTTCTTTTTAATTACTTTGTGAGAATTACTACATATACATGTATGGAAATTAAAGTGAGGATAGTTTTCAAAATCCAAGTAGCATAATTAATACGATATTTAGGGTGAGAAAGAAAATCTAAAGTGTCGCAGTGTCTCAAGTGAACGAGCTGTTCCACCATGCAAGACATGCATCACTCAAGCGAGGGCGCATGAGAATTGGCTACTCAAAGTCCGTTAATTAATTATTGCTGTTCCTTTTTGTGTGTTTTTATTGTAAACTCTTTGCTTTTTGTTTTTGCCTTTCGGGTTTGTAAGTGGGGGTTATTTTTGGAAAAAAATTATTTTGTCTTTTGAGGCAGCTGTTCTGATTCGCCAACATTAATATGTAATTTCTTTGGAAGCGAGAATGTTTCCATTTCATCATACCCATACATTAATGTGGTGGGATTTGTATTTACAAGTTTGTGGGACCATTTTTAAAATTTATTTAATGCACGTAAATATATGACCCGGTACTTCGTAATCAGGAGTTGTTGAGGCTGTAATGGCCAAGTAGAGTGGGGATGTGGTGTAGATTAACCGCTTTGTAAAAATTCCACTTCCGAGTTTTGGATTTTGTGGTTAATAACCAATTGGGTAGCTGCAAGTTTAAACGTCACGGTTGCCTTGCCAATACTGTTGCTCAGCAAACATGAGAAATTGATGCCCACGTGTTAATACATGTAGTGGGCGTTCATGTTATTCAGCTTGCCATCACGTAACCCAACGTGTGATCAGGTACATGTACATTACATGAATTTGGGCATAAACTCATTTCAATGACATTGTGAGGAAATCCACTTCCTGGCCAACGCTTTTTTTGTTGGCAGCGAGCCATCTGTTGTAGTGTCTTGGCTGTCTACGGCTGTTTGCGATGATTGCCGAGTGACACCCTAAAAATACAACGTAGTTCGCCAATCAAATTGTGTATTGGGCACGCCTCATTCTATCAACCCTGCACATGTAATATGTACATGAAGTTTTACTAGTTCACCTTCGTCAATACAGGGTTTCCAGAACCGAATCACTTGTACATTCGCATGGGAAAAAAATCTTGCCGCATCACACAACCGAATTTAAGTGGGCTACAGATTTGTATGTCCCGTGATTGTCAACTTACAAATACAAGCACTGTGTTTGATTGGAATCTCAGGAATTCTTTACAGACAT